AAAAAAAAAAAAAACCAAACCCATTGCCATCAAGTCAATTCCAACTCATAGCGACATTATAGGACAGAGTAGAACTGCCCCAAAGGGTTTCCAAGGAGCAGCTGGTGGATTCGTAGTGCTGACCTTTTGGTTAGCAGCCAAACACTTAAGCACTGTGCCACCAGGGCCTCAGTAACTACAAGACTAATGGAAAATATTGGGAAACATGATCAATGCCCTTTATCCCTGTTCTTATGTCTGCCCCCAGCTTAGATTCACAAGGACTAAAAATTGTGCAGTCATCCATTTATCACATGGAATTCTGCTTTTAAAAGCAACCAGAGTGCTATTTCAACTCTCGTCTTCCACCCTCTTTTGTATTCAAAAACTACAACTCCCAGCAAAAAAGAGGGTAGAAAGTGGGCATATGAGACTTAGATCAGGCTCTAAAATTTGCTATAAGTAGTAACAAAATCAGACACCAGTCCCACTGTAGTGTACACTGAGTGGAATAGTTTTTCGTCTTCTCCATTAGTGCAATGAGTCAGATAGACAGCTGAGTTTGAAGGAATTTTATGCTCAGTACAACTAGATAAGGGATTAGACTAGGAGCAGTGCACTTATAGCTGCCCTCGCTCCACTTGTAGATATTAAAAAAGTTTTTGTTTGCTTGTTTGTTTGTTTTTTACAAGTTTCCAAGTAGAGGATGGGCAAAGTGCAATCCACAGAGCCTTATTTGGAGCAAAGTGAAGAGGAAACAAAACTAACTTTGAACCTATGAAAATAGATTTTAGAGAAAAGGAATGTGGACATAATATGAAAGATTCAGAAAAATAAACTAATTCTGAAGGAGATTCCTTACTGCAGTTCTTTATTTTCCCAACAAAAAAGACTTGTAGATATATTTGTAGGTTTCCCCAACTAGATTGTCACCACTCATGAAGCTCAGAGGTTGATAAGCTCCAGCCACACACATAAAGCTGTTATCTTAGTTATCTAGTACTACTATAACAGAAATACTACAAGTGGGTGGCTTTAACAAAGAGAAATTTATTCTCTCAAAGTCTAGGAGGCTAGAAGTCTGAATTCAAGGTGTCTGCTCCAGGGGAAGTCTTTCTCTGTCAGCTCTGGGGGAAGGTCCTTGTCATCAATCTTTCCCTGGTTGAGAAGCTTCTTGGTGCAGGGACCCCGGATCCAAAGGATGTGCTTTTCTCCTGGCTCTTGTTTCTTGGTAGTATGAGGTCCCCCTGTCTCTCTGCTCGATTCTCTCTTTTATACCTCAAAAGAGATTAACTTAAGACACAACCTAGTCTTATATATTTAGTCCTGCCTCGTTAACATAACTGCTTCTAATCATGCCTCATTAACATCATAGAGGTAGGATTTACAACACATAGGAAAATCATAGAGATCACAAAAATGGTGGACAAACTCACAGTACTGGGAAACATGGCCTAGCCAAGATGACACACATTTTGGGAAGACACAATTCAATCCATGACAGCTGCCAATCAGCTTTTTAGTATTTCATTCTTAAATATAAATGACTATCCAAGGGCATTCAGGGAAATGTCTAATGGAAAAGGCAGACCTAAATAAATAAATAATAGATACTTGAAGGAAACTGACCACAACAGAAGCAACATAAAAGTTCAAAGTTATGATTAATATATTCAAAGATGTAAAAGAAGATATTCCACCCATAAAATATGAATGGAATGCTATATAGGTAGAATATTTATAGAATAAGAACGAGCTGTTGGAAACTAAAAATAAAATAGAATCATTTAAAAATATAAGAGAAAAATCATAAGCTAAAATTTAAATCTCTAAGAGGAAAAAGACAAAGATAGAAAACAGAAAAAAATGAAAATCTGAGGATCAAAACAGGACCTCTAATATTCCATCAAAAGGAATTTCAGAAATAGACTATATGGAAGGAAATGATAAAAACATAATGCAAGAAAATATCTCAGACTTAAGGATGTGAGATTTCTGATTGAACAGACCAAAGAGTACCTAGGACAATGGATGAAAATAGACCTACACAAAAACACATCCCTGAGACATTTTATAGTACCAGTGATAAAAGCATGATCCTAAATCTTACAGAGTAAAACAAAGATTGGTAACATACTCAAGACAAAAGATAAGGAATGATACTGAAAATAGCAACACTAAACCCATTACTGTCTAGTCAATTCGAACTCATAGTAACCCTATAAGACAGAGCAGAACTGCCCTACAGGTTTTCCAAGGAGTGGCTGGTAGATTTGAACTGCTGACCTTTTTAGTTAGCAGCCGAGCTTTTAACCACTGTGCCACCAGAGCTACGTAACAACACTGGGAACTAAGAAATTAATATCTTAAAAATTCAGAGGGATAATGTTTTCATCTTAGACTTCTATATCCAGTCAAAATACCAACAAATAATGAGGGTAAAATAATAATGATTTCAAGTAAACATATTCTCAAAAAATTTGACCCATGTCTACGTCCTTTGGGAGCTACAAGAGCACATGCCGCATCAAAAGGAGGAAATTAACCAAGAATAGTATCAGAAAGCCAAGTATCCAGTCCAGAAGAGGGATGAAGAGTTCCAAATTTGATGGTGAAGGGAAATCCCAAAATGACAGCTGGCATCAGGCTTGGAGCTGATGGGCAAAGGCTCAAGGAAGGATATTGCTAAGGAAAATAAATGGAACTGATAGGTGTGCTTGATTACATAAGGTGAAGCTGTACACCTTGGGTGGAAGGTGTGAGGAAGAATTAGTGATAAATGCATAGAAAACTAAGAACGTATGAAAATGATACAATTATTATTTCTTGGAAAAACAAAAGCAAATGTTACCATAGTACACTACTGGCTTAGTTGTGAAGGATACTTACACAATCACAGTTATGTAAACACTAAATAACAATTTAAACAAAGTCTGTAGCTTAAGTATTTTGTGAAGAAATTGGGGACAGCGCTGAACTATGGAACATCCCTGTGTGTATTTGTGGTGCTGCAGGGGGTGATTTGTGAAGAGAGCTAAATCCTCATGTTCCATAGTGAGATGTCTACGGATAATGTCTGAGACTAAAAATCATGAAGTAGCAGAATAAGAATGTTGTTTTAAAATAATGACAAATATCAGAAGAAAGTACCGAGAGTTGAAAATGAATGCCTTTGGCATCTAGGATTCAGAGATGCGGGAGGGTGGGAAAGTCAGGGTTCTGATTTTGTTGTTGCTGCTATCAATTTTATTATTTGACTTCTAAAATTATGTAGTTTTCATATTATCTTTCCTGGAGGACATGTGAATATTCTCTTGCTAAGATTCCTAATAATCATTATATTCAGTATGAACTCAACTATATAAGCAATTTTAAAGAAAAAAAACAACTGTATATACATCAAAATTTTAATAATGGGCATATAGAATTCCAAGTATTTTTCTATTTTCTGAACTCTCCAGTGTTCAGTAAGCGTTTGCTATATTTATGATCATAAAAATAGATGAAAATGAGTATACAAATGCATTTATACTACATGATTACAACTACACCTTCTCCACACTTATCAACTATCTCGTAATCTCACATTTTGCATTTATGACAACAGTAAAAAATCTACTATCTGACTATTTTGTGCATTAACAGTGTATATCTAGCAGTAACAAATGCTGAGGTGTGAGGCGAGAGTAACGCTGCTTTGATGGTTATGTGTCAAGTTGGCTGGGCCATGATTCTCAGTGGTTTGGCAGCCATGTAATGATGTGATTTGGCAGTTATGTAATGATGTAATTTGGCAGTTATGTAATGATGTGGTCATCCTCCATTTTTATATAACGCTGATTTTGCATAACAGCCTGGTCTTTGGAATCTAACCATGTTGATAAGTGAGGAGAAGGTGTATATAAAATTATGCATTGTCAAGAAAAAATAAGGAAATGCATCAAAATATGGTATAGTGGGAATAATTAGTTTCTTTAGTTACTTCCTTCTTGTCTATATGTTCATTTAATAATATTTTTAAAAGTTCCTTTAAAATAAACAAGCTTAGTTCAAAGTTTCCTCACTTTCAAATAAAAGGAAACACACTGGGTTTCATAATTTTCAATATCTGATAAAAGACAATGTGTGTGTGTGTGTGTGTGTTAACAGTATATCATCACAATTACGGATCTCATTTTCTTTCTTTAGCTAAGATAAGCTAAGAATACTAAGGGCACGTCTCACATTATTTGAGGTAGAAAACATGGACGGCAGGCAACAGAGGTCTCCCATGAGGAGTCCTTCAGTACCCCCGACAGAGAACAATAATTAAGCAAGCAGACTACATATCTGCTTAAAACTTTTGGTGGTGGCTTGTGCATAACTCTGGTCCGGTTAAGTTATGGGTGCCCCATGGCTTTACCTTTCTCTCTCTACACAGTTTTGGCATATGCAATGATCATTTGCTCTTAAAATTTATCCTAGCTATGACCCTGATGTATATAATAACAACTGATGGACTTCTTAAACCTGATTTAAAAATTATTTTGGAAGTTGATTGTGATTTTGTTCCATCTAAAAGACCAGAATTTGTCTGAGATATAGTTGCATGGATGGGAATATCTCTGGCCTAGTTTTCTGACTATGATTTATAGGTCAATAAACTCCTCAAACAATGGATATAATTCCCCTGACTGCACAGAACACTTACTGTCACATGCTCGTTGCTGCAGGATGGATGAGCTTCCAGCCTCAGGTTGTTAAAAGTTAGAGTGATCCGCCTTCCTTCCTGCACAGTGATTCTCCACTCGCAGATCCGGCTGTGAGGATTTGGGTTCGGATAGTTGGGAGAAGCAAATGTTCCAGTAAGGCCCTGGAGATTCCCACCACACTCTGAAGGGGAAAAAATTCCAACCAAATCAAAATGACCCCATCTATTATAAGGAATGCTCTTAAAATTAAAGTTTTATTTTTTTGTTTTTACTATCCTGCTAGATAAAATCATTGCCCTTATTTATTTACTACTATATGTACCTGAGGACTTTTTATAGAACATTTACATTCATTTCCTGTCTCTATTAATACTTAATCTTTGCTCCCATGGATAATAGTTACTGGCAACATTTTAATTTTTATCATGTCCTAAGAAATATGAAAGACCAATCTTAATAGCCAGGAAACAACGAAAGGCTAAAATAATTACCCGATTTTTTCAGGCAAAATATTTATTTCACCTATATTTGCCAGGATATTTGGGAATGCAAATTCTGAAAAAACTATAGGGCCCATGGACTGGCTTTCTTAAGATAAGTATTGTCAAAAAAACTCTCATCCCCTTATTACATCTCTCATTATTTTCCTTTGATTACAACTTATGACAGTAATTTCTCATTTACTGGTGTAACCAAATGATTAATGTCTGTCTTTCCATTAAACATTTTTGGTTCTTCTTCTTACTGTTGTAACATCGGTGCCTAGCAGAGCATCCAATCTAGGTGCTAAATAACTTTTATTTATTTATTTATTTTAGTGAATCAATTAACTTACCTTCCATGCTAGATTCAAACCGCAATCTGAATCCTGCGGCAGTAAGAGAGCCATCTGTGACAAACCTGACCAAAGCAACATTGCCAGAAGTGTCCATGCTGTCAGGAATGGTGTTTCCACAGAATCTGCCCAATACATGTCCTGTGGGAGTCAAATCACTAAGTAAGTATATGTGCAGGTGATTGTTTAACCTCTGCTTGAGGTGTTCGGCACTTTATAGGGAAAATAATAAAAGACAAGACCCTTCCCATGAAGAAATGGTACGCTCTGTCAAGAAAAGCAAGACAATATGAATAAAAATGAACATTTTCAGATACATGAAGTATAATAAAACTACAACCAATTAGGACAAAGGCATCTAAGTACAATGACAAAGCCTTGCTCATTTGGTTAAGGAAATAATCTGAGACAGCAGAGTGACAAGTGCCCATCATATTATTGCTAGAATACATTACCCTTTCCTCTTCTTACCTTATAGAATACCCCTAAGATAATTGCATATAGCACTGGAGGGACCAACACGAAGAGGATGACTTCCCAGTTCAGCGCTCCAACAATGTGGTCTCCAGAATAAGCTATATATGGACTCCCCCAGGGCTATAGACACTGATTGTTTATGGGTAGGAATCAAGGGCAAAAAGAGCTGGTGCTACTCAAAGCTCACTGGTCTGCACTTCTCTGCAGAATCGACATGTTTTTGCCTTTCTTGGAAGTTAGGAGATTTCAGGCACGGAATAACTACTCATGAAAATAAACACTTTCAAAAGAGAGCAAACATATTTCACTGACCAGAGGTATGGTTTTCCCAGATCTCCACAAAGTCTTTTTCACAGTTGGAGGAATTCTGAAGGTTAAAGTCTTCAAAATGGATGGTGAAATAGTGTCCTGAGAGACCCTGGAGATGCCACTCACAGAATAAATTGTCTCTATAAGGAAGTGTTGGATATCCAATGCTTTCAATGACACCACTTTGCCCAGTCACTGTTCCTCCACACAGGGCTGCAAAAAAAAAAAAAAAAAGCAATATTCTATTACAGGTTTTTTTTTTTTTTAATGTCACCAGCATATTTAAATTTTTTAGGTGCCAATGAATGGGCACTGAAATTTTTAAAACTCTGAAAATGTTTGCTTAGCGTCCTCCTTATTTGAAACCTAACATAGATGCAAAGGGAAATGATACCACAAGCCCAAGCCAATGATGGGAAATGGAAGATGGAAAGACTATTGAGTGGTGTATTCTGTAAAATCTCATTAATTTGCTTGGGACACTATGTAAGACCTTTCAGTGACACGTTTCATTTTAACAACCAACTGCCTAGTCTGCTGTGTTCAGAAGGATGCTAAAAATTGAGTCTAAGTTCAGTGGATGGGGTGCTGTGGTTGATTAGTGATGCCTGCCGTTTCTGATTTAACTATTAAATAATTGTTCTACTGCAGTAATTGATATCTTCAGGACTTGAAAACTGAGAATCAATTCTTTCCTATCAGCTGGATGCAATAGCTACACTGAATTATATGCAATTTGTCTCAGCATATAAAATCAGCTACAGTGTATGTTAAATATTATTACAATTAGGCTTTCTAGTTTTTGCTGTAATAAATAAATTTGGTTTATGTCCAGACTAGACCCACCAGATACTAAATTCTATGTCATTGTGGACTATATTATAGTGAATTTTCAGTATGCATATTTTTGGTAGTTTTAAGAATAAAGAACTCAAAACATTGAGAAGACATATTTGCTTTTTATCAGGGATTGATTTGGCACTACAGACCTGGGGCGGGGGAGCTGTTATTCTACTAATGATGAAGAGTTTACAGTCACTGTTCTAAATAACATTCTTTGATTACTAAATAAACTGTTTTATTATTTAAAGTAATATAATACATATTTGATGGTGAGGGGAAGAAACAAAAATTTATTTAACTGAATATGTTTTTCACAAACAAGTTAGGAAAAAATACAAAATATTCGAATTTACTAAAAATAGTGTTTTAAAATAAGAAAGTGAAAATTAAAAATAACAACTTTATGGTTTTAAACACTTATATTCCTTATTTATCTATTCCTATCATCAAAATAGGAGCTGTAGTGGTGCAGTGGTTAAGAGCTACAGCACGCTACAGCTGCTAACCAAAGGATCAGCAGTTCAAATCCACCAGCCTCTCCTTAGAAACACTATGGGGCAGTTCTACTCTGTCCTATAGGGTCGTTATGAGTCAGAATTGACTCGATGGCAACAGGTTCGGCTTTTTTGTTTGTTTATCATCAAAATAGTCCTTAGAGAGAAAGATTTCTTTTAAAAGAAGGTATGATTTTTTAAAATGCGTTAACACATTCGTTTTATCACTAATTTCCTATTGAATATAAAAAATGTTGTTACCTATGGAATACTTAGCCTTGAATCCAACATGAGTAGGGCTGTTATCAGACCGGAATCTCAGGTACATGACTTCTTCTGAGGACCACTGACTTCTGGGCAGAGATATCCCACAAAACTTGGAAAGTATTGGTGCATTTGAATCAGCTCCATCCCGCAACTCAAGGTAATTGGAAGTACAGCTAAAGTGAGAAAAAATTCTGTGTAATGTATAAGGCCAATTGCTTTGACATAGTCTGATGATAAAGACATCAATGATTTTCTCTGAGGGTATTATTAAATCATTCCTGCAGCATAAGATACTATGACAGTCAGTTTAAGCTACATGTCTCTTAAGAATGCCGTATAGTATTTTTCCTAATGAAAATAAACTCCTTATTTAGCTCAGAAAAGATAGGTATTACATGTACCACACAGAAGAATATTGACTTGCCTTCCATAATTCTGTATTAGTTTTACAAATATAAAAGTCATCCTCAATTTACTTCCTAGGAATTAAAAAAAAAAAAAAAGCTACAAGTACTTTGTTTCACATGATGATTTGACATGTTTCATATAACACAGATAAACTCTTGACAGTTCTCCACCCAGGCTAATGGAGAGTCTCAGCTGGAATTTTCTGGGTGTCCGTAAAAGCAAACAAATATTTACTCAAAATGTATGAGCAAGTCAATCAGTTAATACTCAGTGAGTAGAAAGGTAGCATTGTATCAGGTGCCTACAATGGTAAGGAAAAGCTCTGTATCCAAGTTTTGTACCGTACATGTATTTATGTAAATGTATACACACTTTTGTTAAAGACAAAACTACAGATTTTTTTTTCAGTCTATGTAATTACCCTTTGTGTTCAACATAGTAAGACATACTCCATGGTTTGTAACTCTTTAAGAATTCTTATTAAATAAAACCCAAAAAACCTAACTCATTGCCATTGAATCAATTCCAACTCAAACTGACCCTATAGGACAGAGGAGAACTGCACCACAGGGTTTCCAAGGCTGTAAAAATTTATAGAAGCAGATTGCCACATCTTTCTGCCAAGCAGCAGCTGGTGGGTTTGAACTGCCAACCTTTCGGTTAGCAGCCAAGCACTTAACCACTGCACTACCGGGGCTCTCTTATTAGATACAGATAGGGAAATTGTACTGTACTTGGTTTGGTCCTGTTTCTGACACTGGTGATCCGTAATGTCAAATCACACAAATTCCCATTTGTTAAACAGATATTTTATCATTATGACATTGAGTATGCGACTGGGCAAATAAATACTCATCTACCAGTGTCACTATACTTTTCCTTGGGGAGGAAAATGGATAACATAAATCTCAAGCAGCCATTCTCAGTGTCTCCTGCAGGATGTATATAGGATCACCAGGGACAATATCTGTGTACATAATCTACTTGGCTGATGGGAAAGTGGCTGACAGATAATGTTTCTCAGGCTTCGGGCAATAAGCGTTTCCCTTCATCCCTAGATTTCCTATGCAGTATACCTATACTGGTGTGAAAATAAGGAATAAATTGTTCTGAGACATGACAGCTAAAAAATAGTAACTCTGGGTAAGAGAAAAATTAAATGGAAATAACCTACTTGGGTGTTGCTTCAATATTGAATTGGTCTTCAAACTGCAGCTGTATGCGCTTTCCAGGAGGAGCAGATAGGATCCAAATGCAATCAGTGTGTTGAGGGTAATTGTCAGGGTGGTTGGGGGAGGTTACATACCCAGCGGAATCAGCATCATGGATATAAATATTGCCACCACAAGCTGTCAGGAAGCACAGTTAAATCAATCTACAATCTAGTGAAGGAGGGCACAGTCAACTGACACCATCATTTTTTTTAAGTCAATTTATCTACATTTCCAATCTCAATTTCCTTTCATCTTGAATTGTCCTTAATTTCTTCTTAAGCAAACAAATTCTGAATTCGCTATTGAGGGAGCCACCAGGTGTTATCACTCGTTAATTTGCCAAATGATATACTTCTCTTCCTTAGAGCCAACAAAATAATTATGGTACAAAGTACATGCAGAACATCTGTGAAGCATTAATATAGGCTTAAACAAAACATGCAAGTATCCTAGCAGTTTTAATTTCCCACTGATTGAACACAGTTCAATGGAATGATGCAGAGTCTTACTCTTTAAATATTTAAAAGACTAAGCAGATTCCTACACCTCTGTGGGCGTTTGTTCATTATGTTTCTGTAGGATGTAGATGCATTTGAAGAATAGGAGATGAACGGCATGAGACAATTAGTCTTTTTTTTTTTTTGCAAGAAGATAAAGGAGCTTTTATATTTCTGTTCTAAAAGACCAAAACATTATATTAAAATATTTTCTTTTTATTAATAAACATTCATTGGAAATCTCAACAAAGAAATTATGCAGAAGTGAACTGTATACTTACAGTGCCAATGTAATTAACCTGTCCAATAACTTAGCCTCGCAGATACTTGATCTATTAAACTCTAGTGACATTTATTTCTGCTCTCACCCAGCACTTATGGTCACATTCTGAATTTTGTCATTACCCAGAACTCCTCCATCTCTGAAATAATAAATTTCAAATTCCTTTGACTGCCTTCAACTTCCTTGCCCCTTATTTTCCTTTAGACTTGCCTTGCAAAATCCCAGTACCGTGATTATTCTCTATTCAACCCATTCATGAAAATTGATGGCACTACAAATACATGTTCTCTAACCTCAATGCTGTCAAGCATTCCTTCCTTTCTTTTGCTATAAACTACAACAGCCATGTGAAACTCTATTATGCTCCCTAAACTCCTTTATGTATTCTCCCCATTTCCTCTTGATTCTCAGCACACTACTTTGAGTTCTACTTCAGAAAAAAAAAAAATCAGATGAGAACTCCCTCCATTTGTTACCGCTTTTCTATGGTTGCTAACCAAAAGGTGGGCAGTTCAAATCCACCAGCCGCTCCTTGGAAAACCTATGGGGCAGTACTGCTCTGTCCTACTGGGTCTCTATGAGTTGGAATCGACTTGATGGCAACAGGTTTGTTTTCTTTCTGTTTGGTTTTGGTTTTTGGCCAATCCTTGGCAAATTCATCAGCATCTCTACTCTCTTTTGTTTTTCTCCTGGACATTGTCTTCCTGTATCTCTAGATCAGGTTCCCATTCTGCTCTCTCTCCTCAGGGACCGTGTTCTATTTAACCCTTCTCTTCTTCCTGTGCTTTTAATCTCTCTCTCTTTCCTCTCCCTTTCTCTCTTCTTCTTTCCCTTTTACATTCCACATTTCACTTGGTCATATAATTTACAGTCACTTTCTCTATTCCTCACCCCTTTTTACTCCTTCCCTGTAACTCTTTAACCCTATCAAAGCACTCTTGCCCTGGTTCTCAATCACCTCACAATGGTATAACCCAAAGATCCTTTTTTAATATTTATTTTATATCCACAGCACTTATCATAGTTGGCTACATCTTCCTTCTTTATAGTTTCTTCTCTTAGCTTCCTAGACACCAACTTCTCCTTGTTCTTCTTTTATCTCTCTGATCATTCCCCTTCTGGTCCTTGGGTGCCTCTTTCCTGACATTTCTGGAGATTTCCAGGAATCCCTCTGTGGCCTTTCATCTTCTTGCTCTAAATATTTCTTTGATTAATGCCATTCATCCTCATGACTTAAACAATAACCGGTCTGCTAATGACTCCCATATTTACAAATTCAGCCCAGATTCCTCTTCTGACATCCAGAGTCACTTGTCCAATGGATGTAATTCAGATATTTCAAATTGAACACATCCAAAACTAATCTTAGCATCTGCTCACCATCCAGAGTTCCATATATGAATGAATGATAGTATCATCTCCCGCAATACTAACACTCCCTACCATCTTTCCTACTTTTGCTTTTCTCCTTAGCATATTTTACCGTATAACATAGCATATAATTTACTTATATACTGTGTTTTGACAATAAAAACAAGCTCCCTGAGGACATAGATTTTGTTTGTTTACTGCTATATCCCCATCATCTAGTATGGTGCCCATCACATGGCAGGTTTTCAAAAACGTTTATGGAATGAATGGATGGATCCACCTGGTCAGAAATGTAGGGGTCATCCATGGCTCCTCTCCTCTTCCATATCTAACTGACCTTCAAATTCACTCAATGCCACATTTATAACTTCTCTCAATATGTTCTCTCCTCTTCATTCTTCTGCCACTGCCTTGGTCTAGGACCTAATAATTATTTCCTGAATTACTCTTTCATCTTGTCTCCCTACCTTAGTCTTGCTCCCTCTAATATGCCTTCAATGCTGCAGCCCAATTAATGTTTCTAATGATCATGTCACTCACACTTTTGATTAAAATCTTTTAATGGTTCCCCATTTTCTTCAGGTTAACATTCTAACTCTTTATCATGGCATCTACCGCCCTTAGTATTATGATTTCTGCCTGCTTCACTACCATTAAACCTACCTCCTTTTGACCTTATCTCATACCATTGAGACTTTATATGTTCTCACATTCTTTCTTTACTGATTGACAAATCTCTATTCATCTTCCTCCTCTGTTTCTCTTATGCATTTACATAGCTCCTCATAAACTCCTCTGTCTAGCACTTGTTCTACCATGTTCTAATTGTCTCTGTTTCTCTGTCTCCTCCACTGTACTGTGAACTCCTTGACAGAACTTGGTCATTTACACAGTATGAAGCACTTTGTAAAGGTTTGACAATTAATAAACCAATCAATCAGGGTAAGATTAAAAAGCAGCTAGCATAGGGACATAGAAATCTCAGTCAACTATACTGAAAAAGTGTCTCTGGAGAAAGATGGTACGAAAAATAGATGAGTTGAATGTCAAAATTCACCAAAAAACATACGTTAAAGGCTGAGAAATGGGAGTGACATGGAAGTAGATATGGTGGAAAGATAGACAGGGAAGTAGAAGTCTTTCCGTAGTTAAGGAAAATGGTTGATTTGGAAAGTTGGTGTTCTTTGCCATTGAGTTGGCTCAGATTTATGGCATCCCAATGTACAACAGAATGAAATATGATCATACTGTTTGGTGTTGTCCAGTAATAGGTTTTGAAATCAAAAGATCTTTGTTTAGGCCTAATATTAAGGGCAGTCAGAAGCTTTAAGAGAAATGGGGAGAAGATGTCACCATAACCAAAGTTGCATGATTAGTGGGTTCACAAAGGAATAGAAGAGGCATAATGTGTGAAATAGATCCTTAATGTATCTGAATTACCAGTAAACGTTGGCTTTAAAAATATAAACCAAGACTGAGTAAAGACTGGGTAAAGATAAAAAAGTAGAGTTCTGTGGGATGGGCCAAAGTCTACTCACTGGACACAAGGCTCTGTTACTCTGATAATGCCTCAGTACCTGGTGAAATCCTGCCTGTTAATGACTCAGCAGCAAATCTCAGGGTGGAGCTTCGGAGGGATGAGAAACTTAAATCCAGTCATTAATGGTGCTGCTGTTCACAGAGCTGTGTTCTTAAAATCTCCTTCCAAATGCAAGAGCAATGTGTACTGGGAAGTGACAGAGTACATTCCCTATAGTTATGGAGCCTATTCCAGTTATTAGGCAACTTTCCATGTCAGTTGGTGGAGACTTTTCTTTTTTCTCCTTTCCCAAAATAAAGAAACTATGCCGATATTTTAAATTCTCATTTTTGCATACTTGTAATAAAATATACAGTTTCATTTAGATTAAAATGTACTTTGAACTTAAACCAAAAATATCCCCTGAAATCTTTTTAAATTCAAACAATTGTTTAGTTAAACTAGTAAAAAAAAAAATCTTCCTTGAGCATTGTGCTCTTCTAAGAACTATCTATATGAGACCAAAGCGACAACAGCAACTCGAAAGATTAGGTAGGAAACTTAGGGGGCAGCGAGTTTATGTTAATGAGGGAGGAACAACTCAGAGAAAGAGGGTGAGAATGGTTGCACAGCTCAAAGAATGTAATCAATGTCACTGAATTGTACATGTAGAAACGGTTCAGTTGGTGTATGTTTTGCTGCATATATTCTTAACAACAACAACAAAAAGTTTTTTAATGCACTTTGAGACATATTCAGGAATCTGGGGTTCAGGTCATAGAATTATTCTGAAATCCATATTTACTAATTCCTTTGCAGACAAGCAAAGATTTTTTATATTGCCCTCTACTGACATTACTCCCTTTTCTTGAAGCTATGCTTATTTATTTACTAATTAAGCATTATACAAAAATAAGTCATGGGAATTAAATCTTTACAGTAGAATTAAATATAATTACAATCAAATGTAATTAAGTAAAGGTAATTAAGTAAAGATCACTGCAATGATATATAATTAAATGGGTAATAATAAAATCAGAGGATTGTGTGTTCATCTAAAAGGAAGTACACAAATTATTACAAAACAAGGCAATTATCATTCTTACAATGTTACTGTAACTGAAAGTAGCTTACAATTATACATTTTATAATGGAAAGATCTAAGGAATTTCAGGGGATCATTAAGAACAGTTCAATTCACAATCATGGAGAATTTCACTTTGGTCAGTCACTACATGTGTGGCCATGGAAAAGTCTAAGCCTCATTTTACTTATCTGTAAAATGGGAATAATGATACCTTCCTTAAAAAGTAGTCATGATAAAATACTGAAATATCGAGAATATGGTAGGTGCTTGATAATAGGTAGCTATTTTTATTAACATTCTTACTCTCAGCTCAGAAAAGAAAACTTTATGTATTTCTTCTCAAATTTATTTAAATGAAGTAAACCAAACAACTGCAGGAAAAGTACAGACTTTAATCTCAGTGAAAATACTTACCTAAACTCTTTGCTTCATACTTGATCTTAAATCCTTGCCCTCCATTACTATTATCAGAAATAAACTGAGCAAACATTTGATTATCTGAGGTGAACATAGTAGATGAAGGACGACTACCACAAAAATGGCCATTTCCTCCATGGGGTCCCAAGGGTGGAGAATAAATATCAGGTCCATTTTTTAGCTGGAAAGGCAAATTAAAATTGCATAAATTACTTTATATTGTAAAAGATGAAGTGAAAAAGTCCTATCGATTTGTATCCCAGGGGGGAAAATTCATCATTTCATTTTCTGAATGAAGTCTGCAGAGAAAGTAATTAGAAAGGGTAGAGAACAAGACCTACCACCACATAATCCCCCTGGTTGCAGGAAGAATCTCCGTTTGGAATCTGGAATGGCTGTTCAAAATGGACAGCGATAGTCAGACCACTCTGAACCAGGACATGCCAAGAGCAGTTGAGGTTGGGAGGGTAGGTTTCAGGATACATGGGGGATGTAATAACCCCTCTGTCTGCATGTAAATAGCCACCACAGCCTTCACAAGAAAAAACAAAGGGAGGTCATTTCAATGACATACACTAGATTTTTATGCTTAATTGTCTTTCCTGACGATTTTCCAAGCATAGGCAACAGAAACGTGGTTTGAAACTAAATAGGACAAAGTGTAGGAAGTTATTAGTACATCAAGGTTTTATTGTGTACCCACTATTAGGTGCCCTAACTGCCTGTTAAGATCTGGGAGTATAGAGGTAAGCAATAAAAACAAATTCCTTCCTCTCATGAAGCTTACTAATATACAGATGGGGAAGCATGCATTAAACAAATATATAACATGTGAGATGGTGACAAGTTCTTTAAAGAAAAATAAGTGTTGGTGCATGGGGAGCAGGGGACTCTATTGTTTGAGGAAGTTAGGGAAGGCCGCGCTAATGTCAAGGAAACATCTGAGCAAAGACCTGAATGAAATGACCGGTCAAGGCAAATGACTTTGTGGGAGAAAAGTACTCCAGGCCAGAAAACAGTTAGTGCAAAGGCTTGGAGTATTAGAGGTGCATCTAGTAGAGTGGATATGCTGAATGAGAGTTCAGAAAGGTAACAGGACATTGTTAGAAAGGACTTTCTTCTGCATAAGAAGAGGAAGATGTTGGAAGGTTTTGAGCAACAGAATGACATAATCTGACTTAAATTCTAAAGAATCACTCTGTCTGCAATGCTTAGCCTAGAAGGGGAAGGGCATTAAAACAGAGAAGCAGGGTGTCCAATAAAGAGGTGATTGCCTAAATCCAAGGAGAGATAATAGACATCTGGAGTAGGATGGTAGCTGTCAGTAGAAGTGGTGAGAAATGTTTTGACTCCAGATATATTGTGAGGGTAGAACTATGGAAAATTGTTGGTGGTTAGGATACAGGGTGTGAGAAAAAGAGAAAAATCAAGGATGACACCAAAGTTTTTTTTTTGTTTTTTGTTTTTTGCTTAAATAATTAGAAGAACATACTTTCCACTTACTAATACTGTGAAGAGTGTGGAACGAACAGCTTTGGGAGCAGGGGTAGAAAAGAGTGGAATCAAGAGTTCTGTTTTTCACACACACACATAAACCAAAAATAACCAAACTTGTTGCCATTGAGTCGATTCTGACTCACAGTGACCCTATAGGACAAAGTAGAACTGCCCCATAGAGCAGCTGGTGAACTTGAACTGCCAACCTTTTGGTTAGCAGCCAAGCTCCTTAATCACTACACCATATACGTATATAAAATGGAGTTCCCTGGGTGGTACAAATAGTCGACACACTCAGCTGCTAACCAAAAGTTTGGAGGTTCGAATATATCCAGAGGTGCCTTAGAAGAAAGGCCTGGTGAGCTACTTCCAAAAAATCAGCCACTGAATACCCTACAGAGTACAGTTCTACCCTGACACACATGGGGTCACCACCAGTCAAGCTGACCCAAAAAGCAACTGGTCCTGGTGGTGATTATATACAATGAGCTTTCAAGTATATATGTTCATACAAATATATAATGAGAGAGTGAGAGGTTGGGAGTTGAGGGAAGAGAATAGATGGAGCAGGCATTAATTTGCCAGCTGTCAGGGACTCAACAGGTCGTGGGTGAATGTGTGTAGAGAATGCACACAACTAGTTAAATCGCAGAGGTGAAAATTTATCTTAGGTCTGTTTAATTCAAAGTCCATTCTCTTAAACCACAATACAAACTGCCTTCCTTGAGTGTGAGGAGAATAATTTATCTTCCATTGTCCCCTACTTTATAAAAGGCATATGTAACAGTGGAGGAAATATTAATTTTTAATGTCTAGATTGAGAATCTACTTTAAAATTGTGTTTTTCAGTTAAACACGGAGAGTTTTTAGATGTTTCATGGACTACGTCTTTAACATTCATCAGTTTTGGATTTAAAGTTATTATTGGACTTCACATTTTGTCAAGTTTTGAAAAATCTCAGTCATACTCAATATTGCAGCATTTCATACACTGTGCACATTTTCTGACTCACCAAGTTCAGATTTCAAGAGCAATAAACTCTTCCTGCCAACACTCAAATGGATGGTTTTAACCAAGGGATTTATGAAGATTTCTTCTATCTTATTTAAGGAACTGGTTGTTCCTTACAGGGAGGATAACTCTGGCTTTAGTTCCCATGATGTGTTGTGGATCTGTGCTGTCTTCTAGTACCAGCCCTCAGAGAGGCAGAAACATATTTTTTATAGCTCTTACTAGTGTGCCTACCAAAAACATGCCTCCTTAAGAGGGAAGATGACCCACCCAGAGACCTGAAGGCAGGAGACCCTATTGCACAACTTGGCCAGAGTTTTTGGATCTGGATTCAGGACTCAGCACCCTACATAGCACAGCCATCCAGAGACCTGTGCCCTCTGGTTCATGACTTCTGTCCCGCCATGGAAAAATGACCAAAGTACGTTAGGGAGTGAAAAAGAGACAAAACGAACCAAAAAAAAAAAACTGTTGCCATTGAGTACATTCCTTCTGATTCATAGTGACCCTACAGGACAGAGTAGAACTGCCCCATAGAGTTTCCAAGGAGCAGCTGGTGGTTTCGAACTACCGATCTTTTGATTAGCAGCCAAGCTCTTAACTACTGCACCACATTAGGGAGCAAGAAAAAGGTAAAACGAGATGAGAGGGAAAAATGTTTGAAAATATTACTCTTGTGAAAGGATGCATTGAAGCCTGCCCCGGTTACACTGAAGTCAGAGGTGAATCGGATCAGCATGTACTCGCCAGTAGACCGGATGGGCCCGGGGATTTCTCTGCCACACAGAACTGCTAGTTCCTGGGCCAGATTACTGTCTCCTATGACAAAAGAAAAGAAACGTCAGCATGAAAATATGATGTCTTAAGAATGTATTCCACTATCATTTGTAACCCAGCCAGAGAGGCTCACACATTTTTCACAGAGCATCACAATTCCTAGGAGATAATGTGATTCGCAAAAAGAAAGAAACTCCAGGGGTTACATCACTCTGTGTCCAGCTTGTAATGGTGCTGCCTGTCTTTTTCTTTACTCTTTTTGATGAAGACTTCTTGGACAGTTCCCATTATTTTTCTAAAAACTGGCTGCCAGTACCTCCTGTCACTAAAACTCAAAATCAAAGGACATGGGATTATGAAGTGATCAAGGATGAGCGTTCTTGTGAGTGTTAAATAGAGCCTCTGCCTGAAAGTACTTTGACTGCTGAAGGTCAAATATCTAAAAGAGAAAAACAGGTTGCTTCCTCAGTGTCAGCTCCTTTATTATTGTTATGATGTCATTCACTAAGAGGTATGCAACTCTTATATGACCCTTTCTTCAGCTCCAGAGAGTTTTCTTTTTTTTTTTTTTACTATTTGTTTGCTTGTTTTTTGTTTGTTTTGTTTTTAAAAGAACACGCACTTTTCCATGTGTCGATGTGCCCACACATGTAGAGGATGAGAAAAGAAACCACACAGGACTGTTTCAGCAAGTGTGCCCTCCTTGGAGAGAAGCAAAGGATTACTGGGTCTCTGCATGGCTCCCTTTCCTTTTGCTTGTCTTGGATTTCAGTTTCCATCAACCCAGCTGTCCCAGCCCAAACCAGAATGGAGCAAAGGGAATTAAAGCAGACTTGGATTCATTGGCTAGGAAAATGCAGGGAAGTTTTTTCCCCTAGGGCAGAGCATTAACAAATATCAAACCTTTAAAAAATAAAAATAGGAGGAAATTTGTCCTTTTACAAAACCAGCAAAATGGAGACAGGGCCGAGAGAGTGGAGTAGTCAGGTGCTTCCTGTGGTCCCTCTTACAACAAAGACAGGAAAAAAACAAGTGAATCGATGATATATGACACTCTAGGAGCCCTGAACATCAAAGGCAAAGTTGAGGAACTGGACTGAGTGGCAGGGGGAGGGAGAGACAGTTCGGAAGCCTCGAGGAGTTGCCAGACCTGACCTGGTGGGAACTGACACCCTGCAGGTCAGATTGGCTGGCATGTGCAGTGAGGCAAGCAGTGGTGCTCAGGGTACATTTTCTACATCAGGAGAGACCAAGCTGTGGAGAGTCTACTCAAGCCTCCAGATCCGGTGAAAGGCGGCACTCAATCAGCAAAAGATAAGTACATGCGTCAAACCCACCATGCACATCAAAAAACACCCTGTTTGGGAAGAACCTCTCTCCCATTTACCTGCCTCCTCCCCACTCTGCACCTGGTCCCAGGCCCGCTTCAGTGATTGCTGCTTCCCCTGGGCCAGAAGGAGGCCCATCACACACCCTGAGCCATTCTCCCAGCCTTGGAGAGGGAACAAATTAATGAACGGAAAAAAATAATCTGCTAGCTCCCCTAAGCTGGGAACTCAGGGTAGGCACAGTTCCTTTGCCTAGGAACAGGCATAAGGGGTCCATGGACTTTGAATGCCTTTCACCCCTGCATAGACCTGTATGGGCCCATTTCAACAGTGTAGGCCCTCATTAGCACAGTACAACAGGGTATATACCTGAAGCCTAACTTCAACTGTATCAGCTTTATGGTGGAGTAGCAGGTTCATGACATTTGACACTGCTCTGCCCATTAAGCAGGGTCCTCACCTACCCACATCAGGGCCCTGAGGACTGGTGGCTCCATCCACGGCACCTAGCCACCTGCAACAGGGGTCCAAGAATAAGCGGTGCCTCCCAGTCCTTACAGCCAACAGCACTGGATGCCCCTAGTCTGGCTGCAAAACCCACTCACCTGCGCACTCTAGGGAACAGGGACATACTTTCCTCCCAGACACTCAGGGGCAGCAGTCAGGCTCCTTTCTTGATCAGCCCATGACCCCCTACTGCAGCCAGATACCTTTGCCTACTCCAGTCACCCCTGCCAGTCTAGGATTGTAGGTGAGAGCCTGCACCATACACTCGGTGACCGATGACCTGGACACCTGGCTGAATCCATGCAAGAAAAGTACTGGGACTCTCGGTCTCACATACGTAACAACTCTAGCCACCTGGAGACAGGATGTGAGAGCTTCAAAGACACCAATATTCAAACTAGCTCACATGACCAGCCTATTTGGGCATTTCAAAACAAAACAAAACAAGAAGCTAGGACACAGTAAGCAAACATAAAATAAATAAATGTAATAACTTGTTGATGGTTTGGAGACAACACTTAATATCAATCACATAAAGAGGCAAACCATGATAGCTTCAGCAAGCCACCAAAACAAAGAATCAAAAAACCTTATGAAGGAAGAGAACTTCTTGGAATTACTGGAGGTAGAATTCAAAAGACTAATATACAGAACTCTTCAAGAAATCGGGAAGGAGATCATTCAAAATGCAGAGTAATCGAAGGAACACACAGACAAAGCAAGAGAGGACCTTAAGAGGGTTATTCAAGAGCATAATGACAAATTTAACAGCCTGCAAGAATCCATAGAGAGACAGCAACCAGAAATCCAGAAGATTAACAATAAAATTTCAGAATTAGATACCTCAACAGAAAGTCATAGGAGCAAAATTGAGGCAATGGACGTCACAAGTGGTGACATTGAAGATAAATTACTTGACATCAACTTATCTGAGGAACAAATCAGATAAAAGAATTTTAAAAAATGAAGACAACCTAAGAATTATGTGGGACTCTATCCAGAGGAATAACCTATGAGTGATTGGAGTACCAGAACAGGGAGGGATAACAGAAAATACAGACAGAATTGTTGAAGATTTGTTGGCAGAAAACTTCCCTGATATCATGAAAGATGAGAAGCTATCTATCCAAGAAGCTCATTGAACCCCACACAAGGTAGATTCCCCCCAAAAAGTCACCAAGGCATACCATAATCAAACTTGTCAAAATCAAAGATAAAGAGAGAATTTTAAGAGCAGCTAGGGAGAAACAAAAAGTCATTTACAAAGGATAGTCAATAAGAATAAGCTTGGACTACTCAGCAGAAACCATGCAGGCAAGTAGGCAATGGGATGACACATATAAAGCCTTGAAAGAAAAACATTGCCAGCCAAGAGTTATATATCCAGCAAAACTGTCTCTCAAATATGATGGTGAAATTAGGGCATTTCCAGATAAACAGAAGTTTAGGGAATTTGCAAAAACCAAACCAAAGTTACAAGAAATACTAAAGGGAGTCCTCCGGTTAGAAAATCAATAACATCAGATAACAAGCCAAGACTAGAACACAGGACAGAGCAACTAGATACCAACCCAGATAGGGAAGTCATAACAATAAATCAAAGCTAAAACACTGAAAATAGGGAAACAAAAATGTCAATATGTAAAAGATTATAACATTAAAACAAAAAAGAGGGACTTAAAAATGTAGTCATATATCTTTCTTATGGAGAGGATGTCAAGGTGATATAAAGAAATAAAAGATTGGTTTAAACTTAGAAAAATAGGGGTAAATATTAAGGTAACCACGAAGGAAACTAACAATCCTACACATCAAACAAAACCAGCAAAATGAATCCTTTTTAACACAGACCACTACTTAAACTAATTATTAACTACTTTAGAAAACAAGCTATTTTCTATTTCTGTGATTACAAATGTAATGACGGAGTTGTAAATAAATGATACTTAAAATCTTCTCGGGAAACTTTTTGTATTTTTTACAATTCAAAAGTTTATCCAAATGGTAATTTTGTGTGTGTGATATATATTATAGTACAATAAAAAATAAATAAAAATTATTGTTATGGATTGAATTATGTCCCCCCATAATATATGTTAAAATCCCTAACCTCTATGCTTATAGTTATAATCTCATTTGGGAATGGGTTTTCTTTGTTATGTTAATGAGGCAGGATTAGTATAGGGTGTGTCTTGAGTCAATCTCTTTCGAGATATAAAAGAGAGTAAACAAGCCAGTGAGCAAGCAGAAACGAAAGAAATGCCAAGCCGCATGAAGATGGCCCAGGAGCAGAAGTTCAGAGGAAATAGGGAGATTCCTCCAGAGCTGATAGAGAGAAAAAGCCTTCCCTTAGAGCCAGCATACTGTACTTGGACTTCTAGCTTCCTAAACTGTGAGAAAATAAATTTCTGTTTGGTAAAGTCACCCATTTGTGGTATTTCTAAGCCATTTATCTAACTCCTTTTGTACTTACTATTTTTACTACAATATTTTGCTACACATTTCATTCCATATTGTTTTTGTTAATTTACTCTCTAATTATTTAACTTATCTCCTAATTATCTAAAGTTTATTATATGTTGTAATGTTATTTATTCCATATGTGAATATTTTATCTTAGTGAGCCTGGGTAGGGTCTATTGATTTTGACTTCTCTTCTAAACTTCACCCTAGACTGTCTGACCAAAAAACAATACTTATCTCTAAATAATTACTTACTTACTGATTAACTAACTGATTAATTAGTAAATAACCCAGTAACCACAAGATGATTGGTCCTCCCTGTCTCCACACTGAACATTGGGAAATGCTTCTAGAACCTTCCAGAATCTCAAACATAGAAGAAATGAATTTAATCTTTTAAACAGATGAGCAAGTCAAAGAACTGTAAAAGGCTAATCCAAGCTTATTTTATAGATGTGGAAACTGAGGACCCAAGATTATTAGTAGCTAACAGTTATTGAGCATTTACTGTGTGTCAAATACCACTTTAAGTGTTTTCCATGTAACATCTGAATTTATCTTTACAATAACACTATTAAGTTCACATTATTAGTAGTCCCATTTTGTAGATAAGGAAACTAAAGGGATATGTAACTTGCTTAAGGGCCTAAAGCATAGAAATTAACAAGGATTTGAACCCTGGAAGATTAACTCCAGATGTCCCTAAACGTTGCTGGTAAATTATTTATCTAAGATCATAAAGAAAGTACATTTCTGATCTAGGACTAGATAAAAGGGTTATTGATTTTTGAAACACTTTTTTCTTTTTTAAACTTTTTCTAGGCTCAGTGTAGTTACATGAAACTTCAGCTTGGTGGGATGTTTGATATGTGAAATTTATTGGTGCCTGGTCTGGAAAAGACTGATTCAGTTTTGAACCATAACTCTGCAAAATGAGTAAGTAGATGGGAGGCTGACTCAACTTTCCCAGGAAAGCTGCAGGGCCCTGTCTGGGGTGGTCCAGAAATGTTCACAGCCACCTGAGCACCAAGGGCCAAAGGCCTGAGATGACCGGTCAATTGCACAAATGACCAATAAATATCATTGCTTGTGGCCACTTGGCTTTAGATATTTGCCTCAGAATGTCACATGTCCCTGCTACCCAGAAGCAAAAACCTAGCTGGGCAGAGAATAATTGATGTGGAACTTAAAATTTAATTCTGAGAATATATTAATGCTGTGCAAATGAACAAAATACCCGCCAACTGGCATATAATAGGCACTCAGCGACTACTTGTGGAATGAGTAAATAAACAAGGAAAAAAAATGAATCCATTAGGGATTTACTTATGCTGTTAGTGAATAAATAGGAATCTGTATGGAGAGGTCACACAACCAATTTAAAATACTTTCATTACTTTGATATATACCTCAATTTGCTGAGCTCTTACATGAATTTATGTCTGAGCAAGGACACTTTTATTCTAAAAATAGGGTATGATAAAACCTCTTTTAGAAATGTCTCTAAGTAAATTGAAATCTAAATTAAACTATTCCAAATTCTGCATCTACAAAATGTCAGGACTTCTGTCAGACAATTTTGTCTTTATTATTTTCCCTAATCCTCACAACAATCCTGTGAGGTAGTCCTTCCTTCCTTCCTTCCTCCCTCCCTCCTTCCTTTCTTCCTTCCTCAGACAAAACAGGCTTGGAGCCTTTTAGTGATTTGTGCAAGGTCACACAGCAGAGAAGGGACTGCTCCCTAGGTTCTAGACTTCCAAAAAAAGTTATTGATGGAACAGAAAGCAACCTATAGAATTTACTTTAACAAGCTTCTACTGAGTTCTGAACACTCAGAATATGTGTGCAAGAACACACTCATTTCATTACATGAAAAATTTTGAATTTTAATATCTATAAGAATATTTTGATCTGAGGAAAGACAATAGTTCTTCTGGGCAACATGCTGAGAGCCAATCATTGATAGGAAAATTGGGAGAAGTTTATTATCTCATTATTTTTTTTTTGTCTGAGTGATTTGATTATTGACTTAGAGCCCAGCCTGTTCAAAAGGGAAACGAAGTGCCTCCTGCACTTGATTTTTCTCATTGAATTTAGTGGAGGCCCTGGAGATAGGGATTAAGAGAGGTCATCTTGTAAACAAGAGGTTGCCAAAAGCAAACACATGTTATTTTTGGTCCACAAATGTCCTGAAGCATTTTTAATTAATAGTCAATATTTAATAACCGGGAAGTTGATGGAACAATTTGGATGTCCAGCATTCCTTGGAAAATAGTAAAGTCCATAACACTGAGCCTGCATTCCTAGCAGCTGCTCCTTTAACTCTATTCTCCAGTTCACCACTTCACCTGTTCTGTTATTGTTGCTAAGTAGGTATTTGAGTTAGTAACATCTATAGAGAGGTGGTTCTCGAACTTCAGAGACCATCAGAATCATCTGGAGGCTAGGACTAGGATGAGGGGAGGAGATGCCCAAAACCTCAGAAATCGAGATAAGTAATATTTCAATGCAACATTTAAAATTTTTAAAATTAATTTAAAATGAAAAAAAAATTAAAATTTTAAATAAAGACAGGATCTGACCCTACACTTGTATGACCCTGCCTCCTGCGCCTGACCCTAACCCAGGCCCTGGTTGGAGGGTTTGTTAAATCAAGGAGAATTGTTAAATCAGTGTTTCTAATTTAATAGGTTAGGAGTGGGGCTGAGAATCTATATTTCTGACAGGTTCCCAGGTGATACTGATGCTGCTGGTCCAGGGACCAGGCTTTAAACAATGTCAATGTGAAAGGTATGGTCTCCCTACTATCTTCCTTGCAGCCCATTAATTGTTAACCACAGCTCTGTACATGTTGCCTATTAGCATTATCCATATCCTTTACTCACTGCACAGCAACACCCCAAATGTGTATGGAGAAGAAGAGATAGAAAATTTACCCCTTAATTCTACCCATTCTACCCCAAAATGTAGTGAATGGAGAGAAATGAATACACTGCAATTATAAACATTTTTCCCACTTGGATCTAAGATACAAGAGTATCTTAGCTCCACAATCTCTCCACTACTTGGAAACTCAGACTATTCTGTCCTACTTGAGGCAAAGATAATGTTTCCTCTGAGGAATAGTGTCATCCCTGACATACAATGTGGATTATTTTGTTACAGGTAATTTAATACTTCCCTCACATTCTTCAGAAATTGAAGCCAATTTTGGCATTCAGTGCTTTCATTGGTCACAATATCTGTGAAATTCCTTTAAAAATGGATGGAAGCTGTAAACTTGTATGATTATGATTGAATAACTAAATGTTTGACAGGGTTGAAACGCAATAGTTTTTTTTTTTTCTTTAAATTAATTTTGTAATGTTTCTCACCGTCTCTTATTACAAGTTTATCATAGTTGCATGTCTGGTGAGATTCGATGTCCAGGGAAAGGATGTTGAATTCCACAGTTGAATCAGGGGCCTGGATAAGCCACGTACAATCAGCCTGATTACTGTAGCTTTCAGGCCAGCCGGGGGAGTAAAGAAAGACTGGTGTATCGCCTGTCCTCAGGAACCCACCACAAGCACCTGTAGAATGAAAAGCAACCCTTTGAAATACCTCTGCTGAAAAAAAAATCAGAAGTTTTGTATTTTAAACTGACAGCCCTATACTGAAGTGAAACAACCAGTTAAAATAACTTTCTTAAAGAAACCAAGGAATATTTCATTAAACCCACTGATTCAGACAACGGTAATTTCCGTAATTTTTTTTGTGCAAGAAAAACACATTGTAGTCTAGCTTCCACCATGATTTTGCCACATAACCCATTTATTACTGAGTACCTATTATTTGTTAAGCATAAAGTAAGTCCATGACCCCTACCCACTTGCATTATTGTGGAAGAGTAAACTTCATAGTTCCTATGTAAGTTAATCTTCATCTTTTTAGCATAGCTACTTGTCATGTATTTATATCTAGGCAATTTTGAATAAAATTTCGATTTGGTAAACTGAAACCTTAAAAAAGATACATGAGCTTATTATCACTACAGCTTTTCTTAAATTCAATTACGGTTTGCTTTTGTTGTTTATAATAGCATAATTGGATATAATTCACATACCTTAAAATTTACCCTTTTAAAGTGTAAAATTCTGTGGTTTTTAGTAATTTCACAATGTTGTGTAACCATCACCAGTATCTAATTCTAGAACATTTTCATGACTCCAAAAAGTAACCCTGTATCCAATAAGCAGTCACTCCCCATTCTGCTTACAACCTCCCCATCCCACCCCGGCAACCATGAATCTACGTTTTGTCCCTATGGATTTAACTATTCTGGACTTTGCATATAAATGGATTCATACAACATGTGATCTTTTGTCGCTGACTTCTTCCGGTTAACATAATGTTTTCAAGGTTCATCCACGTTGTAGTATGTAACAGTGCTTCATTCCTTTTAAGGCTGAATAATATTCCATTTTATGGACATCGCAAATTTGAGTTTTCTATTCATCAGTTGATGAACATTTGAGTTGTCTCCTCTTTTTGGCTATTATGAATAATGATTCTATGAACATTGATACGTTTGTGTGGACATATGTTCTTTTGAGTATATAACTAGGAGTGGGATTGCTGGGTCATATGGTAACTCTATGTTTAACCTTTTGAGAGACTGCCAGACTATTTTCCAAAGAGCCTGCACCACTTTAATTCCCATCAGAAATGCGTGAGGGCTCAAATTTCTCCACATCCAAGCCAACACTTGTTATTGTCATCTTCTATTACATCCATCCTAATGGATGTGAAACGATGTTGAGAATCTTTTCACGTACTTATTGTCTATTTACATACCTTCCTTTGAGAAACGTTTATTCAAATCCTTTGCCCATTTTTAAATTGAATTATTTGTCTTTTTATTGTTGAGTTGTAAGAGTTCTGTATATGTTCTGGATACAAATCCCTTCTCAGATATGTGATTTGCAAATATTTTCTCCTATTTTATGACTTGTCTTTTCCCTTTCTTGATGGTGTTCCTTGAAGAACAACAGTTTTTAATTTTGATGAAGCCTAATTTAGTTTTTCTTTTGATGTTTATTATTTTTAGTTACTTCTACTTCTTTGTTTTCTTGTAAGGGTTTTATAGTTTTCGATTTGGTAAACTGAAACCTTAAAAAAGATACATGAGCTTATTATCACTACAGCTTTTCTTAAATTCAATTACGGTTTGCTTTTGTTGTTTATAATAGCATTATTGAGATATAATTCACATACCTTAAAATTTACCCTTTTAAAGTGTAAATTTTGAGTTAATTTTTGTGTGTGGTGTGAGGAAAGGATCCAACTCTATTTGTTTATTTTTTGGATATCCAGTTCGGCCCAGCACCGTTTGTTTCTTCCCACATTCAGTTATCGTGGCACCATTGTCAAAAATCAATTGATCATAAATGCAAGGGTCTATTTCTAGACTTTAAATTCAATTCTATTGATCTATATATGAGTACCACACTCTCTTGATTATTGTAGCTTTGTAGTTTTGAAATTAGGAAGTGTGAGTCCCCCTATTTTGTTCTTTTTCGGAATTATTTTGGCTATCTGGGTTCCTTGCAACTTCATATAAATTTTAGTATCAGTTAGCTGTAATTTTGAGAGATTGTGTTGAATTTGTAGAACAACTGGGCAATATTGCCATCTTAACAATATTAACTCTTCCAATTCATGAACATAAGATGTCTTTCAATTTATTTAGGTGTTCATTAATTTCTTTCCATAATATTTTATAACTCAGTGTGCACTGGAGAAAAATGTATAGTCTGCTGGTATTGGCTGGAGTGTTCTAAAAATGTCTTTTAGGAGTAGTTGGTTTATAGTATCATTCTATTTTCTTGTTGGCTTATAGTGTTCTATTTTCTGGCTGATCTTCTGCCTAGTTGTTCTATCTATTATTGAAAGTGGGGTCTTGAAGTCTCTAAGTATTATTTTTGAGTTAGCTATTTCTCCCTTCAATTCTGTTAGTTTTTTGCTTTCTAAATTTTGAAGCTTAAATTCAGTGAGTCATTCTTTTACGCACTCAAATATGCCATTGAGCCCAATTGTCATTTCAGTTATTATACTTTTTAATTTCAGAATTTCTAATTTTTTTAAAAAATATAATTTATACACTTTATTGGTATTCTCCACTTGGTGAGACAGCATATCCATACTTTCCTTTAATTGTTTAAACATGTTTCCTTTAGCTCTTTGAATATATTTATAATATCAAATTTAAAGTCTTTGTCTCATAAGTTCAACATTTGGCTTCCTCCAGGACCATTTCTATTGATTGTTTTTTTTTCCTGTGTATGGGCCATATTTTCCTGTTTTTTTTTTTTTTTCTTTTTTTTGGTAGGGGGAGAAGCAGGTTTGTATTCAATAACTTTTTGTTGAAAACTAGACATTTTAAATAATACGATGTAACAAATCTGGAAATCAAATACCACCCCCACCCCCGTCTCAGGATTTGTTGTTGTTTTGCTATTATTACTGTTTGTTTAGTGGCTTTTGGCACTAATTCTGAAAAGTCTGTATTCTTTGTTGTGTGAGGTAACTGAAGTCTCCACTCAGGATAGTGCTAACTAATGATTAAGCAGAAATCTCCTAAAATGCCCGGAACTGGTAAGTCTCCTAGCCTTTGCTCAAGGGCTCTGTGTGTGTGTGTGTGTGTGTGTGTGTGCGCGCGTGTGTGTGTGTGCGTGCATATGTGTGTATGTGTTGGGGTATGCTTTCAATGCTCTATCATTAGCCTTCACCTTCTGCTTGCACAGAGCCTCAAGATCAGCCAGAGGTGAGAGATAAGGGCCTTCTCAGATTTTTCTTGGGCATGTGCACAACCCTGCACATGTATGTGGCCTTCCAGATTTCCAGAAATATGTCAGCGCTTTTAAAAGCCCCCTATGGTCATCTCATTCCCCAGTTTCTCCTTTTGAGTTTTCTGGTCAGCCTCTTGTAAGCTCCAGCTGGTATCATTTCCTCATGCAGTTGTGATGTTAAACAATTGCTGCTAATTTTTTCTGAGAAATGTCCTAGGGATAGGGCTGTTTGCACTATGCAAGCTTTGGTCAAGTTAAATAAAGACAAGCCCAGAGAATGGAGCTTTTCCAGGATGCTGCCAGACAGGTTAAATAATGACAACTTCTTGAGGGTGGGACATTATAGGGAGCTCTAAATCAGTTCCTCTCTCTACAGTGGCTGCTAGGCTGCTAGTTTTCACAGCTACCATAGTTGCATTGCTGTGGAGCTAGAGAGAGGGAGTATGCAAACAGGACAGGTTAAAATAGCATAAGATTCATTATTTGTACTGAGATTCAGCCATTTTTATTGGGTGAAAAAAAAAAAAAAAACACTCCTCATACTGTTGCAAACTTTTGGTCAATTTCCAGAGTTCTCAAAAAGTTGATGTTGAAAATTTTTCCCAGTATGTTCTCTCTCTCTCTCTCTTTTTTCTCTTTCCAGACGAGTGCATTTTCTGAGTATTTATTTTGCAATTCCTGAAGTTTATGACTCTTTGGATCTTATTAGGGCCACCAGGGAGTGAATATAAAATTTTATAGGCTAGGTCCTAATTCTTGTACCATATTACCATATAGGCAAAAGAATTATGAAAAGACATGTGATGGTTAAGATTGTGTGTCAACTTGGCTGGGCCATGATTCTCAGTGTTCATATGTGCTCACTCGCTTGATTGAATATGGTGTGAGTAGCCAATCATTTGAAAGGGAGTCTCCTTGGGGGTGTGACCTGCATCTGAATATAAGCAGACATTCTGGCTTTTTGCTCACTCTGGATCCTGTTCACCTGACCTCCGGTTCTTGGGACTTGAGCTATCAGCTTATCTGCCCATCCTGGGATTCATCAATTGTCACAGCTTGTGAGCAGAATACTACTTTCCGACCTGCTGATCTCGAGTTCTCCAGCCCCTGTGGTTATGTGAATCGGGAGAAGCCTCTATCCTAATCCACAGACTTGGGACTTTACAGCATCTACAATTGCACGAGTTCTTTCTTTGATCTAAATCTCTCTCTGTATATTTATATGCTTTAGTGGTTTTGCTTCTCTAGAGAACCCAGCCTAAGACAACATCTAAAGGCAATTTTCATTTGGAAGATCTGAATGTTATCCAGTGCCATCAAATGTAAAGGTTTTCCTCTAAATGAAATTATTTCATACCTTGAATTTTTAACAGTTTTCACACTAACTGATTATAGGTGATGAGTGCTGTTTATCAAGTATTCCAGTTCTCCCCCTTTCCAAAGCCATGGTAGAATGGCAGTTCCTGATACTCTTGTGGTTGGGTGAGACCATCTGACCAGTTTTGGTCAATGAATTATGAGTGAAAGAACATGTGTCACTTTTAAGCTGCACACTTTTAGGCTGAGATGTATGAGGTCTCTTTTTTCTCCTGCTATGTTCATGGACAATGTTCCAGATGGTGGTAACTCCAACAGTCTAGATCATGGAGTGATGATGATCACAAGGCTCCAATTTGGCCTATGGTGGATATTTAGCATGAACAAGAAAGAGGCCTTTTTTTTTCCTAGCCGCTGAGACTTGGGAGTTGTGATCTTATTCACTTGTCCACTTAAATCACACTTTTATAGAATATACTTCTTTGAAGGGAATTTGTTATTCTGTTGTAAGTAGTAAATTATATTTGTTGATATAAGGTTTTGCATTAGTAATTCTTCTCTAATTTAAGATTTGTGGATATAAAAAAAGTGTAACTCAAGTTTATGAGAGGACTGGATATATCTATCAAGATTTAAACGTCTCTAAATTATATTTGGCAATCTTGCTGATGGTTCCTTGCTCTTAGATAAAACAATTAATATTTTAAGGAAGAGATTCACACTCAATGTCATGGAAGCACCTTATAAAGAAAGTGAAAACGTCTCAGAACACAGATTAAAGAGCATTATATAAAAATAATGAGCCCTTTATCAGTGATCTCTGCTGATACAAATTACAAGAAGTTAAAGCAAATAGACTCTAATATTTTAAGGTCTGTTTAGTCCTATGAGCCCTGGTAGCACGGTGGTTAAGAACTACAGCTTCTAACAAAAAGATCAGCAGTTCAAACAACCAGTTGCTCCTTGGAACCCCTATGGGGCAGTTCTACTCTGTCCTGTAGGGTCACTATAAATTGGAATTGACTCAACAGCAACAGGGTTGGTTTCTGGTTTGATTTAGTCCTAGAATAAGCCCCAAGTTTAAATATTCTTTAATGAGATCCTGTGATCATGCCCCAATCAAATATTTCAAGGACTGAAATATCCTCTGAGAAATGTCTGCCAAGTTTTTTTTTCTAAATCAACCATTAAAATCATAGGAACCATTTAAAGTTATTAAAAATATTTTTCAAGGAAAAGGCACAAAGTTTCTCAAAACACTGCTAACTAGATATTACTTTTACTGAGAAAATTAAGGATGTCTTAAATATAGTACAATAAAATTTTAAAAATAAGGTAATTTTACCTTGAAACATGAAGGTTTACAACCAGCTAAGGAGAATGTGGGGCATTTCTGAAGATACATTTAAAATAAAATATAAGGAAAGATATGGTTACCTTTGTCTATTAGTTGATCCTAGGCCATTGTGTGTGTGTGTGTGTGTGTGTGTGTGTGAGTGCGTATGCATACATAGTATTTGCAAAGCAAATTTTCAGAAATTTTTAAAGTGATCCCTAGAAATTACAAGTGAACTATATTATGGATATCAACCCCCTAATTATTATTAAAAATACTATGTAAAATCTGCATACTTCCTAGATACAAGTTTATAATTTTTACAAACTTAGGGTTTATGAATTTAAAAGAACACTTAAACATATGAGGAAGAGGTTTGGGGCCGTATTTATTCTTCCTACACATTTGTGTATTTGGTCCTGTTACAGTAGGACTCTGTGAAATTTTGGTCCACACATATCAGTTCTGAAAAAGAATTCTGTTTATTACCAAACACACCTGTAGCAATGGTAGGTAAAAGTCCAACAGAAATGTCCACTGCAAACCACTCCAGAAGGAATCCTTTCCCTGAGATTGAAGAGTCAGAAGAAAATTGAACTGTCAAAGAATTTCTAGAGGAGCTAAACGATGGAGTCTGTGTACCACAGTAAGTTCCAATTTGGCGGGAATGAATGCCAAGCCCATCATAAACCTGCACGTAAAGCACAGACAATACAGCATTGTGTTTAGGCAAGTACCTTTTTTTCTTCATAAAAAGAAAACTAAAAGAACAACTTACATTATTACAATTTTATAATAATTTAAAAAAATAATAAAAGGAAATATCTTATTGCAGTTTAAAATTGCAAAGTGCCATTAAGCATAAAATGTGATCGCAAAGAATTTAATAAGTTTCAAAAATATTTATATCTTTGTTGCAGAATTACATTAACAAACATGCTGTGTGGGATAAAATCTAGTAGATGATTTGCAGTAAAATATGTTGTGGAAAAGTAGGAACCAGGTTAGCTCTGCAGCAGCAGCACTCCATGAATGCACCTTGGGGGCCTTGAAGGGAGGAATGAAGAAGAAAGGGAAACAATAGAGAAAAAATGGGCAGGTACCCTAAAGGAGTTCACATCTCCACAGAAGTGAGGAAACAATTAAAGATAACAAAAGAATCACAGCTTGCAGGGTTCAGCACATTCAAAGCACACAATAAATCTTCTTCATTGGCTTAAAATATTAAATTAGCTATTTGGAGTTTGGACACATATTTTATGATGGTTTCTGAATACCTAGCATGGAGTACATTTCTTTTTCTGTACATGTGGATGGATATTATCTAACCATACTTCCTAACCTTCCCTCTATTTTTTCCTGAATAAGTTGGCACAGCTTTACTGAAAGAATTATTATAAAATTCTCTAATAAATCTGCTATATAAGCCCAATTTTTCATATTATGTAATAAACATTTATACACATATTGAGCATCTCTCAGGTATTGGGTTTGATGCAAGGGACTGTGGACACAAAGAGAAATAAGCTAGAATACTGGCCTTCAAGGATCTGGAGTTCTTTCTGTAATTGATCTAGCAGCCAATGTCTGGATGACTATGATCATCATGATTTTTATATTTATATATATAATTTTAAAATTATTTTAAAACTTAAATGCTCTAACCTATGAATAAACAGGATAATAGTACATAAGACTGAATAAATACTTAAAGGAGCCCTAGTGGTGCAGTGGTTAAGCATTTGGCCACTAACCAAAGGTTCGCAGTTCAAACCCACCAGCTGCTCCCCTGGAGAAAGATGTGGCAATCTGCTTCTGTAAAGATTTACAGCCCTGCAATAACAAGTAATAATAGACTACTTAAAACCTAGGAAGATAAGGGTAAATGTCAAGGTAACCACAAAGAAAATTAACAAACCTACTCATCAAAATAAAGAAGAAAACATAAAGTCTCAGTAAAAACAAAATCTACAAAAACAGAAGAATTGGAAAAAAAAAAAAAAAAAAAACCCCACAAACGAAAGGAATTTAGCACAGGAGAGTAAGGGGAACAAAGAAAATGTCAGCACCACAAAAAAAAGCTTTACAAATGACAGCAATAAACTCATACCTATCCATAATTATACTGAATGTAAATGGCTTAAATGCTCCCATAAAGAGATGGAGAGTGACAGAATGGATTAAAAAAACAAGATCCCAACAATATGCTGTCTACAAGAGACAAACCTTAGAAACAAAGATGTAAATTTATTAAAAATCAAAGGATGGAAAAAATATATCAAGCAAACAGCTACCAAAAAAGAGTAGGAGTGGCAATACTAATCTCGGATAAAATAGACTTTAAAACAAGAGCCACCATAAAAGACAAAGAAGGACACTATATAATGATTAAGGGGACGATCCATCATGAAGACATAACCATAAGAAACATCTACCCACCCAATAACAGCACTCCAAAATACATAAAACAAACTCTAACAGCACTGAAAAGAGAAACTGACAGTTCCACAGTAATAGTAGGAGACTTCAACACACCACCCTCAGTAGAGGACAGAAAAACCAAGAAGAAAACTCAGCAAAGATACAGAAGACCCAAAGGGCACAATCAGC